AGCATAGCTAACGTTTCTACATTCTAAGCCCCCTACTCTTGCTTTTGTCTCAGGCGCAGCACCCGAGCTGTGACCCCGTTTTTTGATGGGTCAGTGTTGGTCATTGTCCTGCAACGTCTAAGTTAGAAGTCCGTTGGTTCTACCATGGACGCCCGCCGCGATGGAGTGGACGTTTGATCAACTTTCTCTTCATCTACACTTTCCGACCTTCTCGGCAAGCAGGTCTTCCATTCCTCTTCTTTCATTATATCTTCTATGATCACCACCCCGTTTCTGAAGGGAGTGCTTGTCGATGGCTGCGTTCTATGGTTGCTAATCCTTCCCTTGGACCCCTTGAACTCTGCTTTCCTATATTGCCCTANGGAGCTATTTCGTAGCGCCCTTTTGTGCGCTGACTTACAAAGGATGCTTTTGCCAAGAGCATGTCCCTTTGCCCCGTCTCTCCGAACTCCACTAGTATCGGTCGGGCCGCGGACCCTGCTTTCGTGTTTGGCTGCTCCCAAACCCCTAGGCTATGAATTCTTTTATGTGACATTTCGGATCTAAGCGGCGGTCCAGTTCGCGGCGAGTTTTGGCCTCCCTGAATATTAGGTCCTCTTTATTGAAAACCAGTAGCGTGTTCCACCGAGACGTTCTATTTACCCTAACAGCCTTGATCGAGACTACTTCAGCTCGCAACATGTGCAGTTCACTCTCGATGTGGTGCAGGCTGTTACCCAGAATACCCTGGGCTCCCTTGGCGATGCGTGGATTTACTATCTTCGGCTAAGATTTGACAGTCTTAGCCTTTGGTTGCAATATGCGTGCTCCTGGAGCAGGTTTCCCAGGTGATTTTTTCACCACCTCGGCATAAGTTTTGGCTGCCACGTCTGCAGTCGTTTTTCCATGGTCATGGCCAATCGAGCGTTCAGAAATCCTTGGGTGGTATGCGGTCAAGTGTGACACCCACCAATGCGAAAAGTACTCCTTACTCCGTGGCTGAAAACAGGCAGGGAAAGATGCCTCATCTCACCTCCATGGTGAGAGATTGTTATACGTGAGCGTTGCTCTCCCAGACTACATCCCAATACATAGAAGACCCAAAAACAAAAACATGCAACCTGAGTGACCTGCTCCTAATCCTCTCGTTTTCTC